ACCCAGAGTGGTAGAATATACCAGATGGGCGGGATATAAATTGAACAAATAAAATAAACTGAAAATAAATACCCTGGGACTTTTTAATACTTAGGGATGGTGGACTATGAAACATTATAGGAAAGTAAAGGAAACGCCAGACATCAAAGGGATTCTTGTTGTTATGTGTCATCAAGTTACCTCTGATCCATAGCAACCCTATGAATAAGTTACAACCATATCAGAATCACTTCTCCCTAAAGAGATGGTGTATTGGGCAAGGGGTCACTGTAGGCGCAAGCGACCACCGCTTTTCCTACTTGAGACAGGTCCTTTAGTGCATAGCCCTTGCTTGCCCTATGGACAAGCTCAACCTGAAAATAGACCTCTTGCCTGCTTACAAGGCAACAAACCACTGACTGTGTGCTTCCTTAGCTGGCACGACAGACAGACGAGGTAGGACCTCTCTGTTATAGTAGCAGTGACCTTTCCAATCTCCACTGGATTTAGGTGCAGTCCTGCTGTTCCAGAGACAAGTCCTGTGTTAGAATTATATTTATTTTATTAAGAAAATAATATAGTTCCATTCTATATTATTTAATCTACTTGCCTTAAAATGGAAAAAATATATATAGGGAAGTAGTAAAAACAGATTCTAAATGTTTCTTCAAAATAATTTATGCAGCTTCTCGAAACCAAACCAATTCTGCAAAAGTATTGCACTTTCAAATTCTAGTCTTACAATGCCATCTACTGGTGAAAAAAGGCACATTAGAGAATATTGTAAGGAACAACTGCCTCATTGCTACCTGGGACAAGGTGGTGGGAAGCCTTTAAACGTCAAGAGTCATCACCAGATCAGTGGTGGCCATCCAAGCCCAGCAGTGGTGATCTGGCAGCACCGCCCCCCCAAAAAGCCCGGATGTTTGCACCAGGGCAAAAGGAAGCCCTAGGGAACCTTGGAACCTAAAATGGCAAGATAGGAAGTATTTAATTGGTGTAAATTAAGTGTTTCCAGGTGCAATGCATGGCAGAAGCTTTAATTTCCCATTTTCCACTGATCCTGAGATTGTTATTTCCCAACAGTCACCACAGGCAGGAAGACAGCAAATTCAGCAACACCAGGATTTAGAGGGTAGAGGTTCAAGCCTCTATCAAACACATCCCAGAAATTCTCAGTGGCATTACTGTCCAAGTATGTCTAGTAAGAGCATCAAAAGAGGTTTCTTCCCTACCACCTAGATGATCAGTTGGGTAGGCTGAGGGAAAGTGAATATCGTGTTTGTCCCTGTCAACATGTTTGTCCCAAATCAACTGGCATAGTTCCATAGAAGGGAAATGGTGTAACTCACAGCAGCAAATTACCGTTAATAAATGAATCCCTACACCCTGGATTCTTCATTGTACGCCTTTTCAGGGAGCTGGGAGCTCAGCCAGGAATCAAAATAGGGACTCGTTAAATAGGAGCAATTTGCTGCTACAAAACTTCCTTTCCAAGGATTTTTGCCCACTATCATAAGCCCCGTTGTATTTCTAACTCCTCTCATATAAATTTTCTTTGCTCTATCAACATTAATCCAAACTCTTGCCCAATACTTGCTTAACACATAAAGTGCAATCAAGCATTGTGATTTAATTACGAGAAGTACCTAAAAAAGGAAACATCTTTATAGGAAGTGAAAGGACATGAAAGATACTAGATCTGACCAGAAATGCTTTCGCCCTTTCTTCCAAATTTGCTAGTGTGTGTTGCTGTGGTCTGCTACTCTGCTGGTGAGGAGTGAATGTAGTTTATAAACTTTATAAACTGAATGTTACCTATATTTTATGTATGATATCAGGGATTTAGGTGTGGGTGAATAAGAGGATATGGGCTGCCCACATAGGGATGGCATGGACAGCCATCTCTACATTCTTCAAGGAAAACCAATACCTTAGAACTGAAAAAGCCACTTTGATAAAATTTTATGAAAAAGCAAATAGGATTGTAGATGTCTTGTAACAGATGAAAGAATGAAGACGACAGGCATTGTCAGAAACCATCACAATAGTAATGGATTTTTATTTTTGCCAGTTAGTATTAATTTAGCAGAGGCATCGGCATAAAGAAATGACATAGGGTATTCCAAACAAAGAAATCAAATTTGTTAAGAGAAATTTTCCTCTCTAAAAATTACACTGGACAGAATCCAAGGGTGTATGTCTGCTGAATTCTATTTCAACTGGCAGAATCAGAAGCCTTCTCTCCTGCAGCCCTCTGTGCACACTAAATTCCTGATCCAAAGAAAGGCACCGCAGAGGGCAACAGAAGGAGGAACAAGGGAAGGAAGTCCCAGTTCCAGGGGTACTGGAAATGGAAGGATACTGTTTGATCTTGGCCACTGCCCTCCAGCGGACAATGTATGGCAAGTGACAGTAGAATTGTCCTCACAACGCCAGTACAACAGTGTAGAAAATAATTTAGTAAATAATATTATTCTATACAAGGTCTGCCATATCTAACTCAGCTTGACTGTGGCATGTATTTAGTTTAATTCTACTTTTTAGATATGCCTTTTTCACATTGCTAATTCTTCCTTGGGATTCTGTTCAGTGATCATTATTGTTAAGAATTAGCACACATTCACTCTGGATATACCAAAAGACATAGGTTTGACCTTTTTTTTGAAGATGACAAGCATATGACATAATATGTATCTTCGATTACTTTCACTTGAAGTATTTCTCATAATGACAATTTCCTTTACGGCCTTTAAGCTTCAAGAGAAAACAGGCGAGGTGATAAACCTGTCTTGGGATTGTAGCCTTGTAGATAGCGGATGGGGAATCCCAGGATTGAACACTTGACTGTAGGAAGAGGAAAAAAGTGGCATGTGCAGGGAATGACTATCATTCTTTTTCCTGATATGGAGAAACATTCAGTTGTGTAAGAATCTGAAAATTCGGCCTTTCCCCCCTCTGCCCAATAATCATAGGAAGGTGCCTCATACCGAGTGAGATCTTTAGACCCTCTGGCCGAGTATTGTCAGTTTTGACAGGTGGCCGCAGCAGCTCTCCAAGAGGTCAGACAGGATTTTTTCTTAGCTCGTGGTAAAACCCTAGTATTCCCTGGTGGTTGACCATACAACTACTAACCAGGCACAACTTGGCTTAGTTTTCAAATTCGGACAAAATTAGCTGCATCCACGATAGTCTGATAGAGATCAAAGATGTTCCGACAAGAGCACTGAAAAGTAGGGTTTCCAGAAATTCAAAGCATGGTTAACTCTGCATAAGTTTCCAAAAGATGCTTGGTATAACAGGACAGTGTGAGGTGTTCTCCCTATTTTCAGTAGATTTGATGATATATCTGACAGCATTTCCCATTATTGCCGATGTGGGCAATGAAACAAAGGTAGACAGGGTGGGGAAGATGAGGAAACAGTCCAATGACAAACAAAGGCAACAAGATTCATTACTTTAGTGTTCACACTAAATGCCAGTTTTGCAGTTTCATTTGAAACCAACAGCAATCATGAAACGTCATGAAGGATTGAAAAAAAAATCTCCTAGAGCAATTACTAATTGAAGAATCATCACACTAGATCAGTAAACCCCAGAAGAAAAATAATAATAACAATAATAATAATAGCAATAATAATAATAAAACCAGTGTCTCATGTTCTTAGGTCCTTTTCCCACACAGTATGTACTTTCATAGACACAGCCCATAAAAACTGCCATGTTTGGCCACATTGCACATTTTTTTTGTCTTAAAAAATGTTGTATACAGATAAAAATGCCTTTGTTTAGATTCTTGGTACAAATTCTGAAGTTAACGTCCAATCCTAAAGTTAAAAGATTTGCTAAAATGAGTTCAAATTATTATTTACAAATCCAGCAGGTGGAACATCCATCATGGCTTCTTTCCCATCCTCTTAGCAGCTGTCATTTTTACAGCAGCTCCAACAGGTTTTCAGCTCCTAGTGACTTCATCATTGATCATCCGTCATCTTCAGCAGTTCTAGAAGGGCCCCAACAGCACCAAAGTAACCCTTCAAAATTTAGGGGAGAAAGGGAGTGTTTAGTGATTGACATTTAAACCGTCACAGTGTTAAACAAATTATACACCAAATAAAAGGCTTAAAAAACATCCAAAATATTGGAATCTCAGAAAACTGCTCTAAGAAAAAAAGACAACAGCTACAGGATTTGCTGGTTTCCATTTTACTGGATGCTTAAGGAATGCAACAACAAAGTTATGCAAAATGCTACGGATCAGTGTACAGGGAATGAAATGGATTGTTCTTAATTTCAACCCTTGCCATTTGGTGGAGAGGGGTCAGGGAGACACTAGTTCACCCAGTAAAACGTTAAGTATTTCTATTCTACAAATATATGAGGCATGAAATTTTGATATAAAACGAAAAGACTTAAATCTCCTGAAAGTGAAATGTTAACAAAGTTAAATGATGGACTGGGCTGAATGTTGTTTGCACAAAACTTCCTCTGCAATATGTGCATCACATCAGTCTTCCCATCTGAGGAAACAGGACAGAGACTTCCGTAAAGACATCTAGTAGGCCAGCAAATCATTAAGTTTCAGATGCCACTCTATCATTTAAAGAAAAAAGCTCCTCCAGGGTAGCACAGACAATAGAAGCTATCTGGCAGTATTTCTGAGTACCACCGGCATATACCACCTGTTTATATCATCAGACCATGCTGGTAAAGTAATTTTCTCAGCAATGCTTCAGCCAACCAAAGGGAAAAAAAAAACCCAAACAGTGTGGTAATTATAAAGTTTTCAGCTGAACATCACAAGCACAAGAGGGTGTTGTGTCCAAAAGGGTGTGTGTTTATTTCCCCCTTCCTCTCCTAACTGAAGCACACACCTTACTTCTTGTTGTTAAATGATTTGCTTTAATTAAAAAAAGAAGCAGCAGCTTTGTTTACATCTGTGAAAAAAGATTTCTCATTCCAGTCCATAATTTATTTCATTAAAACCAAAAGAAAAAGAGAGGTTTGGGCATCTTAGTCTTCTTTGAATAGTTTTGTTGCACCTGTATTGCTTATCCCCAATTAACAAAAGATTGCATCTAATTAGTCCTACACTACAGATGACAGTCTTCAGAGAGACTTCCATTAATGGAATGGGTAGGGAGCCAATTTTTGATGGTTCCTTTGAAGATCCCAAAATGTGCTCTGAAATGTTAGAAGCCTCTTCAGAGGAGGGCAAGAGGTGGTGTGGTTGGCTGTAGAAGAGAGAGGCCCAAAAAAATCCCTTACATTCCCTTCCCTTCCCATTCCATTCACAACATTTTGATGCAAAAAAAAAAAAACACACACATTCCATCCACCAATAATCATCAACTGGGCACAACCCAGTGAATTTTTATGCTTGTTTCTTACTGACAGCACCATATCTACTACTATAACAGATGTCCTATCTGTATCCGAATGGGCATTGTGCTTTCTCCCCTTCACAATTTAAAGTCTGGAGAACGTTAGTGACCATTTAGATTGTGCCAGAAGACACTGGAATCTTAAAATGTTGGCAACATGATATTGCGGGATTTTCGAACAGTCCTTACCTCATGTTCCAAGAAAAGAGCTTTGAGCTGTCCCTTTGACCAATAGTCCATAGCATACGCTAGCACTTTCATGGCAACCATGTTGATTCTCAGAAAGTTTCCAACAAACACCACCCTTTCAATATTCTGTAACATTCAACAGAACAACTACATTGAATGAGATGGCACATTCAGCTTGCAACATGAGAGATAGTTCAATAACACAAGCATAACAAACAACCAAAACGAGCTAAATTAATTTGGATCAGAAAATAACATATCTCTGAAAACCAGCAAGCCATTTTCAGGACAACACTATGACATTCATACAATAAAACACAGCAGGGCTACCATTGATGTTTAATGTTGATTGGAATTATTATAACCTTCTACAGTGAATTTATACATTTTTGATTTTCAAAAAGCAAAATAGACATTTCTGTACCATGATAATACAACCCTGAAAATATTCCCAGCTGCTAGCTATTAAACGTTTCTGAAGAGCAGCCAACAAAGTAATTCAAGTAAATATATATTTTAAAATTTTAGTTAATATATAACTTTGTATGGTATTTGAATTTATTGTTATTGCATGATTTTAATAATTGTGAACCTCTATGAGAAAAAAGGCAGCATATAAATAATATAAACAAACTAACTCCAGGTGGCACAAAGGGATCTCCAGGGGGTCACTGGTACTCTAACATGCCAGGACAGCACAGACAATTAAAAAGATGTGTCTTTTCAAGCTCCCCCTCATTATTCATGACAGGGATCTGTACTCCTGTCACCTTAATTTGTACAATTTAAGAAATTTCAGAACTGTTTTTGAATCAGCCATATTTATTTCACCCCAGTGAGTGTGGTAGAGCTAGAACTTGCAGACTAAAGCTAGAACAAGCCGCCCAGAGACCTTTGGGTAGAGTGAGCAGCATATAAGTTAAATAAATAAATAAACACCTCATGGCTTTCTGGGTAGCAGGGACCAAAACCTCATCTGCCATTTCCGGCCCCCTAAAACTTCTATGTTTCCTCTGAGATTAGCTGCAATTCTTAGGAACAGTGTATTCTTCCAGCTATCTCTGTTGAAATCATTTGAGCGTAGTTTGCTCTTAAATGGGCAATTTAAAACCATTACACTTACCAAAAGATCGGCTGCTCATTTACTGACAGGAACACCCTATATTTTTGGAATCTTGAGGGACGGAGGTATTTCATGGCTATGGGATCTGTATAAGGAGCACTTTGCTTTCCAGATTTACCACCACACCACTGTTTCACAAAAAGATGACATCCTTTCCCTGTTCTAGCTGCTTACTAAGCCCATGCTGAAATACACAGCATGCACTCATAGCTATCTAGTAGGATTGAAATATTTTGGAAGGAATGTGATTTAAAAAAAGTTCAAGATTGCACTGCTTACAGCAACAGTCCCAGAGCTGGCAGTCTAATTAACACCCTTGAGGTTCCTGATGAAGTAAGCATCAGATTTTTCTTCTTCTTTTAATCACTGCATGTTATTATTGCTTGGAAATCTGAAAAGTGCTAATATGGTAAAGGCCTAGTGCTAATCAGCACATTTGAAGTCGGCCTCTGATAGCCCAGTGTTTCTCTTGCAATCCAGTCTTCCTCCTAGGACTGTTAGGAAATGCTTATCATGCTCAACCCTAATACAGAACTTTTCCAAAGATCTCTTTGTGCTACAATCTCAATATCTGTATAAAAATAGGCCAGCACTAGCATTAACCTCACAATTCAGATAACAAACTGAATCTAAGCGACAGGTGTTTGTTTAAGGACATCCAAATCATGATGTGGCTGAACTTTGAGCCAAAAGTTCACCTAAATGTCTACAAATTAAGGAATTTTAGAAATTAGTTGTATTTTATGACCTTGTTAACTATTTTGCTATACTAGCTGGTAGAATATTTTTTTAAAAAAAAGCTTTAAAATAATGTTAACAATACACTGTATTACTGTTTGAAACAAACATTTTATTTGTAATTTCTTTTCCCTTAAGGACTCTGTAGCAGTAAGAATGCTGTTACATAACTGCTTTATCTTAAGATAAGAGGCAAACACAAAACAAAAGTTTTTTAAAAAAAATAAATAAGACAAACAGATTGTGAAATGTTAAAGACTAACTGATATATTTTAATGTGAATTTTCCTGGACAAGTACATTTTTTCAGACCCTTAATATAAGAGAGAAGTGTAATGAATTAACTCATTCTGCTCATTGACCTCTGCCTGATGGAGGACAATGGTCTGACAAAGGGTTGAAGCAGGTACACTTAGCACTGATTTAGAAGAGGGGCTCCCTTAAGTATTGAAAGGGGACTGTCATAACAAGCCCTTGTCCTCAACCACTATTTTCCACTGTGTGCCTTTTGTTTTGTGATTGGTCACTGGAATGTAAATATTGCCTTAATTTGCCAGCCTTACTGCCAAGGGATCAAGAACAAAAAATGTGTTAATTTGAAAAAAAAATCTGCAATTCTCTTTATGTCTAGATTTGACTCTTAGTTTCCCATGCTCAGCCAAAAACACTCTTCTGTAGGCATATTAAAGATCAAAATTGAAACTTTGCTACTCTTGGTTAATGAAACAATTTTCAGAACCACCACGGCATGAGACAGTTTTGCATTATTTAGGATTAGAAAATAAGTTGCACGATTATGTACTCTTTTCCCCACTCTTCTGTATGGTTTCACTTCAGCACAAGCCATATTTTGCTGTGTCCTCAAATCAGAACAGCATAATCTGCCCTTCCAAACCTGTGTTCCTCATAGCTGCAGGCTCTCTATGCTTTGATAGCCCTGTACAATGCTGCTTGAACTCCATGCCACAAGGCAACACTGTAAAGAAGCTGAAAGCAAAGAGACGGATCAGGGCTACTGAAGAGGCTTCCCACAATACATTTATGAAAACATTTCGTTAGTCTTCTTGAGGTTCATTTAAAAGACTACTCAGACACCAACACAGAGGAGCAATGTATTTTTTAAAATCTGTATTACTTTGTTTGATTTGTTGTCTTAGTAACTTCCTCTTCCATTTTATGTGTTATGTCATTTTCCTGCCTTCCATCAAACACCCTGAGGTTATAGCAGACAGATGGGAGCTACCAAGAACAGTGTCATTTGTTTCCTCATGCTGCTTTGTCTCTCTAAGTCATGTTCAATCATATAAAAAGTAGAAAATGATATTGCCTTGTTGTGAATGTCTCTACCCACCAAAATGGCAAGACCACTGAAACAAAGAAGACACAGAGAAATCTATAATGTTGTGAATCATATTTTTGTAGCGTTACATGTTGTTTGTGGAAAGTAGAATATGAACAACAGTTCTTGGTAGCTGGTGTACATCTCACATAATCCTAGTTCTGGTTCCAAGGTAGATGAGCTTCACAACTGCGGGTTAGTTTTCTGGAACAGGTTAGGTTGATGTGACTTGCCTCAAACATCACTATATTTCATGGCTGATGCGGCTTTAAAACTAGTTCTCCCACCTCTAGGCCTAATACTCCAACCATCACACTATCCCAGCACCAATTTACAGGTGCAGATTTTTCAACATTGACTGCAAACATTGCATGGCATCTTGAAGGTCTAAAGAGCTTCTGCCAGATGGAATTTCTTATAGCTAGACTTTGGAAAGGATGTAAAAATGGATGAAACTCCTTACAGTTTGACCTTGGAAGGGATGTAAACGTTTTCCTGTGCCTTATAGTTCAAAGGACAGGTAAGGACAAATATAGTTCTCTTTTTTGTGGAGGCAAAAAAAAATAGTGTAATAAAAATGGAAAAATACTGGATTGGATGATAAGCCATTAAACTGCAAATGTTGGGAATGAACTCAACTCAGCAGGTGACTTTGGGCCAGTTATTCTTTCAGCCTGAACTATCTTACATGTTTGTTATGAGGATAAGAATGGGGAATCCCCAGAATTCTCCCCGGCAGAATTCTGGGAGCTCCAACCCACAGACCCACACCTTCAGATACTTATATTTCACTCACTTGCAGCAAGGTAAAACTACCACTCCTAGGAAACATTGTGGGAGCATCCGCCCTGGAAGCACTGTGGTAGGAAATGAAATGGGCACAAATTGAGTCATGCTGCTTCATTCAAACTTGTCAGAGCAGCATCATAGGTGGTGCACTTTTTTCCTTTCCCCCACTGGCTGGGCACTGCTGGGATCCCCCTTCTCCAGTGACAGGCCAGTGTGGGCAGGAGCTCAGGCTGCTCTTCCCCATCTCCTTCAGCAGCTGCCCACTCAGATTAGGAAGTGGGACAGGGAGACGCCCTGTGCAGCTGGTGAGTGGGCAGCTGCTGGAGGAGGTGGAGAAAAGACAGCCCGAGCTCCTGTCTCCAGAGGAGGACCCGCGGAGGCATGCAATGGATTGTAAGTGGGCCAGGTGGCCAGAGGGTCAGGGGAGGGAGAGCAATTCATACAAAGCTGCACAACTCAATTCGTGCCCATCTTTAGTAAGAAATGAAGGCTTAGAATGCTATATAATTTGGAGAACTGGACCATGCTCCAGATGAGTGAAATATAGATGTCAGAAGTTTTGGGACTGCGGCTTGGAACTCTCAGGATTCTGCTTGGGGAATTCTTGGTAAATTCCAGGAGTTGGGAGTTCAAAAATTCCAAACAGCACATCCCTCCAAATTACTGGCAGCCCAGCAGACAAGAAAAGGCAAGTCTTGAAAAAACATAAAAGTTCCACTGATAGTAGTCAAGATGAAGAAACTGATACTGTTTTTGAACGGAATCTCAAGTCAATCATAACACATTAAGTGTTAACGTTGTTGAGCATTTAAGAGAGAAAAAATGATGCATCCAGGTGATAGTTTCATATCACAGCACTAGAAATTCAAAACAAACCACAGATCAAAGTACTTTGAACAACATAACAACTAGCTTTTAATGAACATGTTCTTACCTCATTTAGAGCACACATCCGAGCAATGGAGCCTATGTTATTGGTGATAGTAACTAGTGTTGCTCTTGCTAGGTCCTCTTTACTGATGGAATCTCTCTTTTCTTTACTCATCATGTTGCCAAAGCTGTGTGATAATACCAGAGAATGTTATCTTTCTTATATTTTTCAGGAAAGCCAAGGTTTCAAAACAATGCGTTTTTAAAATGGTTTGTCTGGGATAAAAAAAACCACTGCACCACTAGGCTCTTTGTTGGCTATTTATCTTTGTTGTTGTTGCACTGTGGGTGCTTACCAGTGAGCAAGCACCACAAACAGAATCCTAGAACTGTTGATTAACCAAATAATTCTGGTATGAACTTCACAGTACAGATATTTAAACACACACACAAGGAAAGGAATCTGTTCTTCAAGTTGAGATTAAAATAAAATCAACAAATCCTAAAAAGCAAAGAAAGATAAAGTAAATCCAATCACAGGGGTTGTGTGCACTTAATTATAGCTTGTTTACCATAGCCATGTAAGGAGCACATATGGAAACTTAACACGTACTAAACACAAATACATTTTAACACAAAGGCCTTTGTTCATGAAGAACTGGTATGGGAAACAGGAATCTGAAGAAGGAAACTAGATGGGAAGTTTAACTCACTTCCCTCTCACACCTTCCTCAGCTCAAACCACCAATACCAAGAACTCCCCCCCCCAAAGACTTCAAGGATGTTCTGAGTGAGGACAAAAAAAACAGCTTGGCATGGACAATTTGGAATGGAGAAGCACGCGTGCAAGAAAAGGGTGACGTAACTCTCCTTCATTCCCATCCATTCTCTGCTCCAAACTGATCATACTGAAGCAACTTTTCTTGAAAAACAAGAAAAACTGAGTCAACAGGGTTTGATTGTATTTGCATGTAACATGTTGTTAGGCCCTGAATACCTATAACTACAGTTAAGAAATGGATGCAATTGGCAAAGAATTTACATGATACTGTATCACAGATCAACTCTGTGTATGATATAGTACTGTTGCTTTCAAGATGTCATACAGCTCCTTTTTTTATACAGTCTTTGCTTTCCGTTTCACGTATTTGATGGAATATATTTGTCTACAGAAACTCATGTCATAGGACACACTTTTTACTTAAGAGACTAACAAGGAAGAAGTGTTTAGAGAGGTTTAAAGTTCGCGGACAACCATATAAACAGAACTTATATACAAGTAAGAATTTCTACTGATTTGTCTTTCATATGACCAAATAATATGTACCTTGATGCTACAGCTGATCCCTGAAGACCAAAACGTTCATAGTCACCTCCATAAATATCCTTCACCAGCTTATCCACATGGGTGCTGTCTCCTTTAGCTGCCATTTCTAGAGCTTCTTCAAAGGTGTCACAGCCAGTCAGCAAACAACATAGGCCCAGGAATGTACCACCACCAAGACTAGGAGCAGGAGGGAGGAAAGGAATTATTTATTTGTGGCTTTGTTTGTTGCACTCATATCCCACTTTTCCTCCCCTGAGCTCAAGATGGCATACACAACTCTCTTCCTCCACATTTCATCCTTACAACTCTGTGAGATGGTCAGACTGAGAGATTATGACCGGTCCAAGACCACCCAGTGAATTTCATGACCGAGTGGGGATTTGAACGTTGACTTCACTTCTCAAGTTCTGGTCTAATGTTCTAACTACTACACCACGCCAGTTCTCCTTTCAACCACTTTATGACTGCTTGAGTTCCTAATTATATTTTGTTTGTGCAACTTTCACATGCATTATTGCAAAAGGGTTCTTCAGATCTCAGCTTCTCTATAAACTGACTGCAGGAACAGATCTTGGGTGCAACATGAATTGCTGCTCTGATTACCAAGGTTATATGCATTTGGCTAGGTTTCTGTAGTTGCAGCAATGGATATATTGCAACACAATCATTATGAGCTAGCTGATTCATAAACTAATCCAAGTACTGAGTTGGTTTGCATGATGAAGTGGCAGTGACATGTGAATCTTGAAGGTGCTGTTGTCCATGCGTAAGCCCAAGCTGCGCAATCCGTTCATCTCCATGAACAAGAAGCTAATGAGGCCGCAGTCTCGTGCTAACTTAACATGTGCCTACCCAGACACATGGGTATCCTTATTGATCTTAACAGGAGTAATAGCTGGGAGAGTTGCATGTGGACTTAGGTATGCATAATTAAGTCCTTTTTAGGTGCAAAGTTTTGGTGGACCTATGTTACGGATCCAGGTCCTCAATATGTAACAACTTTCTTAGTTTAAAATAGGAGGTGAGTGCTCTTGAATTTCTGTTCACAAATACAACAAAGGAACTAGACTCAGTGTAGCTTGAGCACCAAATCAATGTATTGTGCTTATTGCTTGATATCTGTTTCTCTGAAGAAAGGCCAGGGAAAAGATAAGGTGCTAAATGGTATCTTTATCACAATCAAATGGAATCTACTGCAGACATTTTTTTAGTCTCCTTACTTTGCTTCAGGATGTTGAAAAAAATTGAAGAGAAAAAGGGGTAAAAAACCCCCAAATGGTAAAATATTGTGCAACCTTAAAGACTAAAAGATTTGTTTGTAAGCTTTCCCACAACACACTGAGTTCATTAGTCTTTAATTAACTATGGGCTATTAAGTCAATTCTGACTTATTTATAGCTACTCTTTCCAGGGTTTTCTAGATGCAACGTACTCAGAAGTGGTTTTCCATTCCCTGCTTCCGGGAGGCACTCTCTGGGACTGTACAGCTTGCCCAAGGCCACACAGATTAGCTCCTCTCTTACGAGGTGCAGTGGGGAACGGAACTTCCAATCCCTACTGGGCATTCACTCTCACAGAACTATCCAGTCATTCATCTTTAAAGTGCTACAATATTTTATCCTCTGTTGTCTTGTCTTCCCCAGGCTTAATTTCTTTTGAGTAGATTTAACTTTTGTGTTGATAGATTCTCATGAACTTATTTTAAAAATTCTTAAAAGCCCTTACAGAAAACTCCCTAAAATCAAATTGTTAAGATAGTTTCAAGGCACTTGGTTCCTTTCTTCCCAACATAGTAAAAACTAGAAATAGGTTACTTCTTTTTTTTAAAACTTGCTTCATAAAACTGCTAGGCTTACGACAGACAGTGGAAGATACATAACTTTTAGCTCTTTATGAGATTATCTTCATTTGAAAATAAGACAAGGTATCTTTGGCCTGTAATTTTTTAGTCAGCTATCACTAAGGAAGTTCTAGGGCAAGGGTCCCCAACCCCCGGTCCACGGCCCGATGCCAGTCCGTGGCCTAGGCTGCACTGGATCACAGAGACAATCTCCCACCCACCCCAGCATGCATTCCCCCCTGCCCAGCCCCTTCGCGCATGCGCACAGGTGCATGCCTGTGCGCCAGTGTGGGGGGTGCTCCGCTTTCCCCAACCAGCCCACAGTGTTAAAAAGTTTGGGGAACACTGTTCTAAGAAATTAAATGAAGCAGTTTCTTATTCTTCCTACACCCAAAAAGGGTTTTATTCTTCTCTAAGGGTCAGAGAAGATTTAAGGAAAATGCATATTCCCTGTGATTAATGTTTTTCCTGCCACAACAAGATTTTCTCAGTTTCCAAAACAGCAGCCATATCTGTCTGTCTACACATGCTGGCAAAACAAAAGCAGAGGTGGAGGGGAGAGCTACTGTAGCTCTTTAGACTAAAAATTGAGCTTTCAATATGAGCTTTCACAGAAGTGGATTTTCACTCACACTGAAATAAGTCTGTTAGTCTTTAAAGAGCTACAGTTACTTTTTTTCTTCTGTCAACATTTTCTCACAGATACATGTCTCAACAATCAGACTTGCAAATTATGCCCATATTTACCTTCCAATGACCAATAAAGAAACAACACATGATAAATGCAAGATATCTGGGTAAGGAGTATGAAAACTCTTGGGAAACATTAATCTTTCATCATTTGAAGAAGCATTTCTTCTAAAAGCTTGCTAAATGTATTGTCTCGTTTGACCCTGGGAAGCAGCCAGTGGGGCCCAGTGGATAAAGCTAATGATGAACACAGGTTCAAATCCAAAACTCAATCATAGTGCCTTGGCCCAAACTCCACTGCTCATGATCCCTTTGGTTAGTTTGTGTGTTTTTGGCTTCACATCTGCAAATGACGTATATAGCTCTTATCTGACATCAAGAAGGCCAATATATTCAGAGTTTCTGAACTAGACAGGTTGGCATGCCATTCAACAGGAGGAATTGTCTTTCAGAGAGAGTATATTCACCTGGTCCCCGTAACTCTTTTATAGTTGTCCTTGGAATACACAGCTAAGATGCTGACTCCAGAGCCAATGTTAACTAGCAGCATAGGAAAAGGATTATCAAGGCAGTAAGGCATTTTCTGACATTGTTCAGGATCCGTGGCATTTTCAAAATAGTAGCACTCCGGCTGCCCATTAAAACCGACAGAATCTACATAGAGCAGACCCTGGATCAAGCAGTCCAATTCATCTAGCTTATGAAGCTGGAGGTCAGCAATCTGGAAGAGAAGTTAATAAATGAACACTTGTTGATACCACATAGGAACTAGCACAAGGGTCAAACGATTCTCTTGAAGTACTTTGTACTGTTTGAGTTGCACCATGGGTCATTATCATCACAAAAATAAATAACTATTTGCATAGGAAGTTTCAAGTCAAGAATGTTGTTTGCCCTTTGGAGAGCAAGCATAACATCAGGTCAAGCAGTGATATGCATCTGAGGTATCAGCCCAGAGCTTATTTCCTATCTTGAAGGAATCTCACTTCTGTGCTAATATATCAGTCTTCTCAGAGAGCTGAAGATGTTTTGAAAGAGGGGTCGCTGCTTCACTCTTCCATCTGTGGTCAAGTAGGTTTTCATACTGTTTGAAATACCTGCACAATCTGTTTCCCCAGGGTAAACAATGAGAGACAAATGGAACATGTTCTGTGTGTATGTGCACAATGAGGATGATGCTATCAAACCTTTTTCAAACTTCTTAAAAAGCAGTCTATTTCTAGCTTTCAAGTGCCATTAGAAAACCAAAATCACAGCAAAGTTCTGCTGGACATTTATATTTTGGATCTGGGTAGCAAGACTCTTATCAACTTATATAAAGCCTGGCAGTTTCTGACAGCTATAGTAAAAGTTTGTTTTGGACATGAATTTTCCCTGCTAACGAGAGGACAGTATTAAAATCAATAAGGTAATCAAGTAAATATTCTCACATGTTAGAGCAGATGTTCCAGTTACAATAAGTTTAATGAACCACATTTTTTTGGTCTCATGGAACTGAAAAAGTTATTAGTTCTCCTCTCTGTATCTATATCAATGAACCTGTATTAGTGTATAAGTGTATCTGCATTATTACACTCATACAAGTGTGGGTCATGTCCCATTAGATAACATGCAGGACTTCAAACTACAGGTATGTAGAGTGAAAAATCAAGTTTTAACAGAGGTATTTCAAACTGAGTTGCACCATACACAAGAGCACCAAGAGACACACAAATCTGTTTGCTCTCAGACTCGAGCCACTTCCTCACCCTATTCAGCTAATTAAGGTGATACTGCATAATTTAGTTATGTAGAATAATGAATATAGAATGCATAATCAAAGCACTAACACACTCAAGAGTAGAAATGTTAATTGCATCAACTGCAGTTATGATGAAACATCATACCTCTTCAATTTGCTATCAAAAGCAAATTAGGTACAGTCTGAAACCCATCACTGCAGAATATCAAGAGTTTGTATACAACAATAAGGCAGATTTTTTTAAAAAAGAAGTGATATCGCTTCAAAAGAAAGGGTTCTATGCAATAACTCTTGATTATGTTAGAATGGAACATAGCAAGTTGTAAAACAGAGGATGTGTCCTGTGTGTTACATAATCCCCAGAGGCAAACTCATCCACCTAAAGTAGCATAATAAGGAAGCATCACCTCACCTAACTTGCCTCACTTTTTGCCTCAGGGTCAGGAACGAACTTCATAAACATACTGAAAACAAATAAGCTGTTGGAATGCTAAAGGAAAGGTAGAGAACTGTTGAATTCTTACTTGGTCTCTTACATTTTAATATAAAATCAAGAAAACTAAATTTGCACAAATCTTGGAAGAGTCTGAAGCAGTGGTTCCCAGATTTGGGTAACCTAGGTGTCCTTGGACTAATGGACTGTAACTCCCAGAAACCCTGGTCAGCACAGCTAGGGGTGAAGGCTTCTGAGAGCTACAGTCCAAGAACACCCGGGTTACCCAAGGTTGGGACCACTACTGCATCTCTGGGAACAGCTGGTATGCCACCCAGGCAACATTCTCCAGATGCTGTTGTCCCCTAAGTCCCATCAGCAACCACGAGAATGACCAAACACCACCAATAAGGGAACCTCTAGTCCAACAACATCCAAATGGCAAAAGGTTCAATTTCATCCCCAATATGTAACCACAAACTCAAACAGGAAGACTTCTTAGATCTAAGGAAACTTCCACTCTCCAGGCAGTTTCACAAGGAATCACAAAGGAAAGTTCCACATATTTTTTTCCCTATTTTTTAGAACAGTGTGGGTGACACACTGGTGCTTTTGAGGCTACAGCTCCCATTAGCCATTGCCAGCACGGCTAATGTAAGCTACAGTCCAACGAAATCCTTTAAAACCTACCTAAGTTATTAAGATATCTGTAGATATACAGTGGTGCCTCGCTTAACGATTGCCTCGTTTAGCGATGAATTCGCATAACGATGTGTTTTTTAGAAAATAATATGCATCGCATAACGATCTGACAGCTCCATTATTTCCTATGGGGGAAGAAAAAATTCACAAAAAATTAATGAAGACTCAGCAACTGTTCTAAATTCTTGGGTTCGTTAGAGGACCCCCTAAGTTGTGTGCAAACCTGATTTGGCTTTGATCTGACTTTTCGTTAATTTTTTGTGAATTTTTTTTTTGGCCCATAGGAACCAATGGACCTGTCAAAATCTGACAGCTCCATGCTTTCCTATGGGGGAGAAAACAATTTACAAAAAATTAACGAAAGTTCAGATCAAAGCCAAATCAGGTTTGCACACAACTTAGGGGGTCCTCTAACGAACCCAAGAATTTAGAACAGTTGCTGACTCTTCATTAATTTTTTGTGAATTTTTTCTTCCCCCATAGGAAATAATGGAGCTGTCAGATTTTGACAGCTGTCAAAAGTTGGGGGGAAAAAATTCACCATAAATTAATGAAAAGTCATATCAAAGCCAAATTAACTTTTGCATCCATTTTAGAGGGTGCAGAAGCTAATCCAAGCATTTAAAACCATTTTGACCCTTGTATGACACATTTAAAATTGCAAAAATTGACTTCGCAAAGCCATTAAAATGTATTGAGTCAGCTTCAATACATTCCAATGGAGGATACATTGTTTCGCTTAGCGATGTTTCCTATGGGTTTTTTCGCTTAACGATGGCAATCCGTTCCGATGGCAAACCGGTTTCCAATGCATTCCTATGGGAAATGGTGTTTCGCATAGCGATGGTTTCACATAGCGATGTTTTTTTTGGAACCAATTAACATCGCTATGCGAGGCACCACTGTATTTGCTACCACAAAAGGCAAGACAGTGACAACTGAAACAAAGAAGAATGGTAGCCCTGGAATATAAATTCTGTAATTCCAACAACATACAAAGCGTATTCTTTTATAAGTTAAATCTATTATTCTGCAAGTATCAACTAACAGGGAAATTAGAGGTATAAAGAAGAAGGACAAATAGGTATAGCACTGAGTCTACCTTGGTTCTTGAAATGACTCGGAAATCGAATTCACAGGGTTTATTCATTCCACTCAGTCACCCAACCAGATTTTCTCGACTTCCTTAAAATTATTACCATAGTTTGTGATAAATAAAAGACTTTCCCATCAGTACAGAAACAAGTGAATTTTCTACTGTGGGAAGCCCTGTTTAATTTCTTCCTTAGGTGAGTACAACCGCTGGTAGAGATGATGGGAGGGAGAACATGCACTACTGTTGTGTTTAGTAGCTTTTCCCATCTATGCACACAGTGAAACATTCCTACATAGAAGGTTGCCTACTGAATACACACTGGTTTTCCTAGTGATTCAGAACCCTGGAAAGAATATTGTGTCTGTTCAAATACTTTTATTTTCTCTCATTTTCTCTGCAGAAACATCTCTAAAAAACTGAATGAATCAATTAATTAATTACATTCAGCTGAATTATTCAATGATGCTGGAAAACTTGTAATTCTGAGGTCACGTTATTTAGACTTATTTAAAGTTAAATGTAACTTGAACACTTTACTTTTAGTCAACATTTTCCTTTAACTCTGTTATTAATTTAGAAAGCAGTTTTTAACAGCTCTTAACTATCTGTTTTGGACTGGGACTGAAATTGATTCTAGTTCCTACTGAGTCATGAAACTGACAAGGTGATCTTGGACCAGTCATTGGCTGATATCCAGTAGTAAGTCAAAAGCAGAGTAGACCCAATGAGTCAGTGGGGATCAAGTGAGCCAAATAATCTGTAAATTCAATTGAGTCTACTCTACTTGTGCCTTACTACTCAATTTCAGCCATTATCTTTCAGCTAATCTACCTCACACAATTAAGACACAGTGGAAAAAGGAACAATATCAACACACATTGCCTTGATATCACTGGAAAGCTGTATGTTGGGAGTAAGATGCATTGAATAAATTACAACATCTAAGTAAATACAATGCATCACACTGTTATTAGGCCACAAACATTTTTATGCGAGTAAGCCCCACTGAAAATGCTGCCCTAGTGCAACAGATGAGTGCAAAGATGGGAAGCTTTGCTTTATTACATTAGCCTTGCAGTGCAAGATGAAAAGATTTTCATTTAATAGGCAGTAAATACAGTAAGAAGAGGATGGCCTTTGCATCAAGTTGGTCTTCCTAGCTTCTACACCAGACACTGCCTAGAAGCTGCTCATCTGCCCTGGGAGACTGCAGGCTGAATCTCTTAATGCTTTAAAAAGCTAAAGAAACTGCAAGGGAAAAGATTCCACACAGGAACCAGAAAGCTAAAGAAATTGTAAGGGCAAGAAGACAAAGTTATGGGGTGGGGGCAGAGGGAAAGCAAGAGAAAAAGTCTTTTTCTTTGTTAGAAACTACTCATGCTTCAACGTACGCACAATTGAATAATGGAACAAACCCTGCCTTTCCATATCAATCTACCTTAGAACAGGTATAGCGGGCACCTGGGGCCAGCAACTGCCAGGATAGTGGAGGCAAGGAAACAAATTCATTTTCACTCTCCTTCCTATGTGACGGCTAATCCTGGAGAACACTTCCAGTGGTTTATAGTGACCTTTCATTCAAAACCCAGGTCATTAATATTATTCATGCACTATAATATCAGGTAAGCATACTATTATCCAGATGTTCTTCAGATGCCACAGCAAGAGCAGGAGGGCAGATGTGGCCTGTTCCTCTCTGCTGTCACTGTCACCATACAACAAATTTTGCTTTCATAATGGGATTTTCAG